GGAGAATGTGTTTTCACTATAGGATTCGAAGTACATATAGCAAAGGAACACATGAAGAGGTGCACCACCTACAAATTTAATAACTACACTACAGCTAGAACTACATGCAGTTATAATAAATATAATTCTGACAGACACCGCTCATCCCTGAAGAGATGGCGCTTGTGGCTGGGCATGCAACTACATGCAAGCGTGTTACGAGGCGGATGAATGCTCAAAACGCTCTTGTACGGCAGGCCCCACTCATTTCACGTGCGAATTTTGGTCGCACCGAATATCGATTTAGCTCGTCCATTAGCACAGCTAGAATCCCATCTGTTGCAAGGGTCTAGGTTGCCAGGGTCCTTGTGTCCAAGGTTTGGCATCACCAGACCATCCCTAGGCCTCGTAAAAGCAATACAGCATAATTTATACGGGTGATATTCTACGCGTGTCATTCTCTGCAGTGAAGAAGTCATCTACGTCAAACAACCACCCCTATTTGTGTTGTTCTTATCCAAAGGATTGAGCAGGGTTGGGCATGCACGTTTAATCTTGATCGTCGTAACTGCAATTGTTGCTGTCCAAGCTTGCTGCCTATCTTCCTATTCGAAGCCGCGTATGAGCTCGTCCAACGGGTTGCTCACCACTTGACTGTTGCCCTCGGGCGACTACCGATATGCTTCACTTCTTGCCTAGCGTTGCTCGGTGTTTTCTTCACTTAACTGCTCTACTACTGTCGTTAACGCCTTCATGCTTGCCTACATATCTGCCACTTGCTGCATCAATGAGTTAAATGCGGCTTGAACGATTTGTCGTAATCTATGTCTATTGAGCAACAAGGTATCAGAGGCTATTCAACAATAATGCAATCCCAACAGATTTCGGAGTTGAACAAGTTTAATTTAATACATTTTGTTGCTAACCCATTTTTTAGCCCACTACTTCAACCACACACATGCCACTGAACTATCATCAAAGAAGCGGGCTGAACTATAAAAGTAGTTATGCTACCAAATATTACGAGTTGTTCAACAGATTTGCACGAAATACAACTAACAAAGCTGTGTGTAAGGAAACAACTTCTCCAAGCTGGGGACTGAACCGGTCGGTGCATGGTGCTGAAACCAGGCCCAAGGCAGCAGCATCCAGAGATGTTGCTGCCTTGGGTCTGAGATGGTGGGTTTACAGTGGTGAAAGCAAGGCCAAGGCAGTAGCATCCACGGTTGCTGCTGCCTTGGGACAGAACAGGTGGGTTTACAGTGGTGAAAGCAAGCCCAAGGCAGTAGCAACTCTAGCTGTTGCTGCCTGGGGACTGAAAAGGTGGGGGATGCTGAAACCAGGCCCAAGGCAGCAGCATCCAGAGTTGGTGCGGCCTTCGGACTGAACAGGTGGGTTTACAGTAATGAAAGCAAGCCCAAGGCAGCAGCAACTCTGGTTGTTGCGGCCCGGGGACTGAACAGGTGGGTGCATGGTGCTGAAACCAGGCCCAAGGCAGCAGCAACCAGAGTGGCTGCTACCTTGGGACTGAACAGGTGGGTTTACAGTGGTGAAGGCAAGCCCAAAGCAGCAACAACTCTGGTTGTTGTTGCCTTGGGACTGAACAGGTGGAGGCATGGTGCTGAAACCAGGTCCAAGGCAGCAGCATCCACGGTTGCTGCTGCCTTGGGACAGAACAGGTGGGTTTACAATGGTGAAAGCAAGCCCAAGGCAGCAGCAACTCTGGTTGTTACTGCGTGGGGACTAAACAGGTGGGGGATGCTGAAACTAGGCCCAAGGCAGCAGCATCCAGAGTTGCTGCTGCCTTGGGACTGAACAGGTGGGTTTACAGTGGTGAAAGTAAGCCCAAGGCAGCAGTAACTCTGGTTGTTGCTGCCTGGGGACAGAACATGTGGGGGATGCTGAAACCAGGCCCAAGGCAGCAGCATCCTGATTTGCTGCTGCCTTGGGACAGAACAGGTGGGTTTACAATGGTGAAAGCAAGCCCAAGGCAGCAGCAACTCTGGTTGTTGCTGCCTGGGGACTGAACTGGTGGGGGATGTTGAAACCAGGCCCAAGGCAGCAGCATCCAGAGTTGTTGTTGCCTTGGGACTGAACAGGTGGGTTTACAGTGGTGAAAGCAAGCCCAAGGCAGCAGGAACTCTGGTTGTTGCTGCCTGGGGACTGAACAAGTGGAGGCATGGTGCTGAAACCAGGCCCAAGGCAGCAACATCCATGGTTGCTGCTGCCTTGGGACAGAACAGGTGGGTTTACAGTGGTGAAAGCAAGCCCAAGGCAGCAGCAACCAGAGTTGGTTGCTGCTGCCTAGGGACTGAACAGGTGGGGGATGCTGAAACCAGGCCCAAGGCAATAGCATCCAGAGATGCTACTGCCTAGGGACTGAAAAGGTGGGTTTACAGTGGTGAAAGCAAGCCCAAGGCAGCAACTCTTCTGGTTGCAGCTGTGTGCCTTTGCCTCGTGACACGTGAGCGTGATAGGACCCCCAAGGCAGCAGCAACCGGTGTTGATGGTTGTTTGTGTGTGCCTTTGCCTCGTGACACGTGAGCGTGATAGGACCCCCAAGGCAGCAGCGACCATTGTCGCTGTACTATAGTGGCAGTAGCAGGGAATTGGGCACTCACTTGGGCTATCCTCTCTAGCGATCCGCAGGGGCGTGTGCTGCACCTTGCTCCCCGTCACTCCGTAGTATCCGCTTTAGTTGTGCGCGCGGTGGTCGTAGCCGGGTCACCTGGAGGGCGCGCTTCTCGTCGCCGGGAACGCGGCGTTTGGAACGCGGGCTCCGCGTCGTCTAGAACACGGACTCCGCGTCGCCGGGAATGCGGGCTCCGCGTCGTTTGGAACGCGGACTCCGCGTCGTCTGGAACGCGGGCTCCGCGTCGTCTGGAACGCGGGCTCCGCGTCGTCTGGAACGCGGACTCCGCGTCGCCGGGAACGCGGGCTCCGCGTCGACTGGAGGGCGGGATCTGATCCGCCTGAAATGCGGGATCCGCGTCGCGAGGAATGGGGGCTCCGCGTCGCGAGGAATGCGGGTTCCGCGTCGCACAGAACGCGAGCAGCTAAATGTGGAGAGCGGGTGCTACTCGGTGCTTCGTGCGCAAGCCGAATCTAGTCCGCTTTCTTCCCCTTGGCTAGTCACAACGACTCCAATACACTCGTCGTTTCTTGTTGTGCCTAGCTACCCGTAGTCTCCAGTCTGTCATCACGGCCTTCTTCCCGTTAGTGCAATCGCGCTTGCACGTTCCTACACTTTGCTGTTGCCAGCTCCTGCAATGGTCGGTAAGCTAGTAATCTGGGGTAAGGATCGTCTCGAACACGTTTCTGTTGTGGCGTTGAGTAGGTTGCGTTGATACCCAGCACATGCTTTGCTTGCTCTGTTTTTCTATTTCCCGTTAGCATCGAGCTGATTCAGTGGTGAGGTGACTTCGGGTGAGCAACACTTTCCATGCTCGATGCAAGAGAGGATGTGTGAGAGAGGATGTGTGCGACACATTTGTCGCTTTGGGTTGGTGGGATTCGCAGAATTGGTGAGTGCGAAATGTTCACTTGTTTGCATAGGGAAAATTGTTCTCGCCAAAGGCAGCCAACCGAAATAGGCTTCGCAGATCTCACATACAACCTATATCAAATCCACATAAATTGATAATTGACCATGCTGGTCCCCGGGCTTTAAGGCAAGTCACACTACATACCGCATATATGATTTTTTCCGCCACTGTATACCCAATAGTAATTTGCTACCATCTAGCGATACTCGCCTCGATACTGTTCCTGCCACCATAACCATCGCACCCAAACTACTCGTCTCGGCTCTTTTCATGCCACCCGGTTCTACGCTTCGAGCATTTCCCAACCCTGCACCCATTTGTAAGAACCCCAACCACTTAGACCATTGAGATAAAATGGCTTGTTTGTGTTGCGGGTTTGTGCGCCCATACCCCACAGGCGAACATGCATGTAACCCCCCTAAGGATCAATGGGGCGTCCACAGTGCAGTTCTACTGACACTCCCCCACACTATGGGGGCCAGGGCTGAGCACAGCGGCAACGGCCTACATGTGCATATACCGGGATTCGAGCCCGAGACCTCTCTGATACCATGTCAGAAGCCCATGTCACTTACATGATTGACATATTGTGAGCAATGATTTTTCTTTGTTCAATATATGAACTTGATGACTAGGCATATACGGTTATAGCAACAAAAGATGTTATTGCTTATTTGGTGGTTCCTCTTATTCGCATTACGATTTTAGTGAATTTAGCAGTGTGAATGGAGATTCGGCACCCTGTTGTCGTTAGCCCATGCAAGTCTCATTTGAAATCGCCTCAGGTGTCTGCCTGTGTAATGTAAAAAAACTCTAGATCGGTCGTTTCTTGCTCGTGCGCAAGGAAACCTGCGACTCGATTTTGCATTTGCAAGAACCAGAAGTCTGAGCCGTTGAAGCAGGCAAAGCGTGCAGTTCAAGGGTATGAAAACGGAGGTGTTGACTGGGGGCAGTGTACACCCAAGAGTTCCGTGTAACGTAACAAACACACCAGAACTACAGAACCAAAACACCAGGACGCGTTCCTTTCCAATTCCCCTGACAGAGCAGTGCACCCAAACAATTGATAGCGAAACGAACGAATGGGCTGCTCCGTACATAACGGCAGCAGTTTCTCGGATGCTTGGTCAGGTGTGTGGCGGATCCACAATTGTCGTTTTCTATAGTTTGTCAGCCCGGCGCAGACCCTGAACAGTCTCCGCACAGATCGTTTCTTGAGGGCTGTGTCCTCTCCGCCAAACGACGAGATCTCACCAAACCCATCTCATGTTGTCAAAACTCCCGTCCTACCTTTCAACTCAGCAACCATCACAACCTGGTCGTACCTTTCTCCATCATCTAGGGATTAGCTGTGTCTCTACTGCTCAGCCAGATCGTTAGGTCTCACATTTGCCAAGACACAATTTCTTTTGTGTAGTTGGACACAGAAACTTTGGTGTACACACAGGGCTCTTTGATATACCAATCACTTCCGCCATGGAGTTCCGGCGTGGTTCTTTGCTGCTTGTGGCTCTCGTTGCCTTAGCCTGCGTCTCCCTATCATCCGGCCAGTGCGTGAAGGACTGCCCCCCACTCTATGGCCTATGCTCGCAAGGCATGTGCAACAACTCTGCTGGTATCTTCGGGAAATATGTCGTCCCTCCTCACAACTGCTCGAAGACCTACCCCACCAGCCCCAGCAAGCCGTTCTGCGCTGGAGCTTCTGTGAAGCCCATCACGTGCTGTAACAAGTGCGCCAATCTTACGGCGGGATCTTTGGGAACTGCCTTCAGCTGCGCCTTTTGGATGCACATCGCTACTGGCCCGTAAGTTCCACCCTCTCTAATCTGTGTAACTCTGCTGTCTATTTGTTTGACTCAAGTAAGCGTTTTGAGAGACTCTTGCATAATTCCGCTTCCCTCACATTTCAACTGTTCCCGTTCTCGGCCGGGATTATTTGTTTATCTCGCAGGGGTGGGAGCTGTAGCGATTCCCTGTGCGGCAAGTGCATTCTTTTCCCTTCGGGCACTATTCCTTCGTGTAACGGTACCCTTCAATGCGCGCGGATTGGCAAGGCATGCCCTTTCACCAAGAACGACCCACATTTCCTCGGCGCTCACGGCACGCGCTTCGAGTTCAACGGCTCGCCCGACAAATCCTTCTGTCTGCTGACGGAGAAGGACGTCCAGGTGAACATGAAGATGCACGGCTACTACGACAAGCGCACCGTTGGTGCTTCGGTTCTCGTCAACGGCATGGCGGTGCGCACCTGGATTCGAGAGCTCGCTGTGATCTGGCGCGCCGTGACCGGCGGCGAGGAGCACAAGCTTCTCATGGTCGCGCGTAAGGGCAAGGACCAGGAGCGCGAGGACGGGTTCGTCGATCGCATCGAGCTCGACGGACAAGTAATTCCCAAGATGCAGGTCGGGGAGACGAAGAATCTTGCCGGCGGTCTCGCGATCACTTTCACTGGCTACGCGAAGTCTGGACCGTTCGACGTCGACGAGTACAACATCAACGTTGAGGGACGGATCTCGCTCAACGTCCGCGCTCGCATCGCCCATCCGCTACTGCAGACGGACGAGGACGCGGAGACTCACTTGAACGTGCAGTTTCAAGGAGTTACTCCCACGGAGACTATTCACGGTGTTATGGGCCAAACCTACCGCTCCGGACGCGGACAACGCGCTTTGGATTACTCGGCGCTTGCCCAGCTGCTCCACCACCCGGTGGCCGCTGATGGCGTCACGGGCAAGGGGTTCCTAGACGGCGAGCCGTCTGACTATGAGACGTCCTCCGTCTTGGCCCCTGACTGCAAGTACACGACATACCAAGGCAAACCCCTGCCGGAGGAGAAGGAATATGCTGGTGTCGAGTATCTCGTGAAGGATCTTGTGGAGGTGTAATGTAGATCCCGATTAGGGTAGCCCCGGACTTGTGATGGTCTGTTGTTTCATTCTTGCTCTCTCAGACAGGCTTGTAAAGTAATATTTGAAAATAATAATACACGCTACTATTCTAACACACTGAACACCAGCTCCCAGTGTAATAGACACGTCAACCTACATACGCGAGCTAATGAAACCCCTGGACTGTTAACTTGTCTGAACTGTAAGTGTACTGTAGCATGGCTAGTACCACTCCTACAGATATGTTCTTGGCTGGTATAGCACTGAAAGGAACGTTGAATCATTAGGGTAGGGTATTGATTTGTTGTTGTCAACTCCGGCTGTATGTGCTGATCAAATAAAAATCAGTCTTAAAAAAAATGCTTAAACCAGTATTCGGTATCTTTCATGGCCTGTTGTGGGCTGAATTGACATCCTTCATCAACTGCTCCTAACTGTTAAGTGTCCAAATACTAGGCAAGAATCAGAAACAGGAAAAAAGGGTTTTCACTAGCAGCAGTTGAGATACATATAAGAAACCCTAATTGTGTTGTACTTGCTATAGAGTACTGTCAAATGTTGTAGCCTGTAGTGAGGTTTGTCTTAGGGGGTACAGAAGTTAGGGTTTGTCATATGTACCCCAACCAACATCAATGGACACATCATTCCTCATTCTGACATGGTATCAGCTAGGTTAGGATCCTGTGGGATCCCGTTCCTCCGTTCTCCGTTCGTACCTCCCGAGCCTGATCCTACCTCTCGTTCGTACCAGTTCCGTTGTTACCGAGCCTAGCGCCCTTTCCCCCGTCGCTTAGCGCCCTTTCTCCCCGTCGCCTAGCCCCCCCCCCCCCCCGTCGCGTCGCGCCCTTTCCCCCCCCCCCCGTCACGCCCTTTCCCCCCGTCGCGTCGCGCCCGTTCCCCCCGTCGCGTCGTGCCCGCCTGTTCGCCCCCCGTCCCGTCGCCCTGTCCCGTCGCGTCGCCCTACCCCGTCCCGTCGCCCTGTCCCGTCCCGTCGCCCTGTCCCGTCGCGTCGCCCTACCCCGTCGCGTCGCCCTGCCCCGTCCCGTCGCCCTGCCCCGTCGCGTCGCCCTGTCCCATCGCGTCGCCCTGCCCCGTCGCGTCGCTCCCACCCTTTCCCCCGTCGCGTCGCCCTGCCCTACGCCCTGGCCCGTCGCCCTGCCCTAAGCCCTGGCCCGTCGCCCTACCCTAGGCCCTGGCCCGTCGCCCTCCCTAAGTCCTGGCCCGTCGCCCTACCCTAGGCCCTGGCCCGTCGCCCTACCCTAGGCCCTGGCCCGTCGCCCTACCCTAGGCCCTGGCCCGTCGCCCTCCCTACGCCCTGGCCCGTCGCCCTACCCTAGGCTCTGGCCCGTTGCCCTCCCTGAGCCCTGGCCCGTCGCCCTACCCTAGGCCCTGGCCCGTTGCCCTACCCTACGTCCTGGCCCGTCGCTCTAGCCCGCTCTTCCGCTGCGACTTGTTGGAAATCCGAATACAGTATAACGAATACTGTATACCAGTGTGCTGTTTGGTTTTAGTGTAGTCCTCTTTATAAGCTTCCAGGTCCTACAATTATTGTAGGGGCCAGAATTATTGGAGGTCAGCATTATTGGAGGGTAGAGGGTACAATTATTGGTACACCATTATTGGTGTGAATGGGTCATTCTGGAGGGGTAGCTGGATGCATATATACCCTGCTGTGTCACATCATTGAGTACACATTGTGTCATCATTCTACTTTTCAATGATCAATGCAAGATTTCTATCTTGTTCTTTTCTACAAACACGTTTCCGCTACGCTGGCACTATGCCTTTCTAGCATGGTATCAGAGCAACTCTAGGGGGCATGCTGCCAAATTTGGTCTATAAAGTTGCTGGAATTCCCTTCGGATAGGTACCTGCAAACGCTCAGAGTACCAAGCACCTAGTATACGCTTTCGTACACGTGGTCTTCACTTCTGAAGTTATCTTGCGCGTGTAGCGCACACCTGGTGTACGGTTTGATCATGGCGCAATTCGATGACGAAGTGGATGCTGGATATGCGGCTTTTGAAGAAGCCATCTTGGCCCAGCATGAGCACCTGGAAAACATGATTTCAAGGGCACCACCAGCACTGCAGGCATCACTGCGAGTCAAGTTCAACATGCCAACAACCGCACACTCGTTGAGCAATCCGTCCACTCATGGACAGTCGCATTCAAGCACTCCTCGTACTAACCAAACGCATGCTTCCAATGTCGTTGCAGGAATTGATGGTGAAGGGGAAATGAGCATACCCCAAGGAGGAGAGTCATCCCAAGGGAGGGATGCATCCGTCCAAGGAGAGGAGATCGCCAATTCCGCACCTCAATCATCCATGCAAAGGGAAGCACGGAGGAGGAATGATGAGTATCGGAGTGCAGTGTTTGGTGGGATGAGAAGTGGACAGATTGGGCATCAGGGTGACAGAAGTGGTGAAGTGGGCGTGGAAGGTGTGGGATTCGCCTCCTACACTATTGGTGCTCCCCCACTACGACGACTTGCGACCAACTCCCATCCCATTGGAGTTCTTCCCATGCCCAGGTCTCACCTTCGTGGCGACAACATCATCCCTCCGCGTGCACATCGTCCACCAATTAGCGCACACTCTGTGGGCAGCATGGGGCGGATGGGGTACGGAATGCAGTCAAGTGGTGTCATGCGACGGGATCAAGTGGAAGTGCTGGAACGTCAACTTGGTGGACAGAATGGAGATATGCGGCGCACGGTACAGCTACCTCGACCGTCAACCATGCCTACTCTCTTCGACCCCGCACCACGTGAATATACGGACGAAGACAAGGAACGACTGTCACGCAAAATGGTGGGAGCAACGGTGGACAAGGCATTCACCACCACTCCGTTTGACGGCTCAAATTTCCGCGAATCGGCACTACGGTTTCGTATGAACGCCCGCGTCACGAATCTGTGGGAGTTCTTTGTGACCCTGCAGTATCCGGTTACCATTGGAGATGGTGACATTGACGACGCTATGGGGCGGCTGGAAATGCTACAGGCGGATTACTCCCAGCGTGCGGCACTCGCCTTTTGGGTCCTATTGCACAGCGTGAGCGCAACGATTCAACTACAGCTAGACATGTTTTAGGAATCCTACAGCCCGGCTTATGAAGCATGGGAGTATTTGATGGACACTTACCAGGCCAAAGATTCGGTGGCGAAGGTCTCTCTCATGAAGCAGTTGGACAACCTGAAAATGGGGAATCAAGAGAGGGTGGAGGAGTATGTGAACCGCGCAACGGCGATTCGGGACAAGTTGGCGTTGGCGGGAAAGATGGTGGATGAGGACACATTCACCTTAAATCTGCTCACCGGACTACCGGTACATTGGGAGGAGATGAGGCACTCGGCAATGCTGCACAACGTGACGGACAGCTTCACTTTGCAGCGGATGATGATTCGGGAGCAGAGATATCACGATCTCATATCAAAGGATAACCGTGACCGGCGTCCACCTCGCATGGTTGGACAAGCACGTGGAGACTGCTCACCTTCTCCAACTGCAAAGGGCAATAACGGGAAGGAGGGGTCAATTGGGGAGAAAACGCATGGCAAGGATGGAGATGCAAATCGCTCATCTCTCGTGTGTTGGTACTGCAAGGAGCCTGGCCACCCCTTCTTCAAGTGTACCAAGGCACCCCCTGGGTGGATACCACCAGGGTGGGAACCGCATACCCGCGGAAAGGCAAAACTGCACACCAGCGACAGCCGTTCGTCCTCCCCACGAAGGAGTTACAGCCCCAAACGTGACAACAATGCATCAAAACAGCAAGGGGCAGCCGGGGAAGACAAACAACGTACTGTTACGTGCATTGCAATGATGGGATCGTCACAAGCTACCTTACCGCCAGCTAAAGCGTCATCTTGGATGCTGGATAGTGGATGCAGCCAGCACATGACTTCGGACAAGAGCTGGTTTGAAGAGTTAAGGGAGCTGGACGAACCTGTTTATGTGGAGCTTGCTAATGGGAGCGAGCTGAGCAGCAAGATGACAGGAACGATCAGAGCAACGGCACCTGATGGGACAACAGTTCGGTACACTGACGTCCTCTACGTACCTGGCTTGAAGAGTAACCTGCTCTCCTATTGTCAGCTGCTGAAAAAGGGAGCACACATCAATACGATTGCTTATGGAGACGTAGAAGTCACCATGAAAGATGGAGAGGAGTACGTGCGGATTGGAGTTGGCAAGAACGTGGATGGAGTGCTCGTGGTGCAGTATGAGCATGCACTTACATCCGCCCATGATACTGGACATTCCCATGATGGCGCGTCATCAAAGAAGCATGATTGTGAAGAGGGTACACGTTCCTGCACACCTGGAGTGCAGTTGAGTGTCCGCTCTGCACATGCATCCGTTCAGTACCGCATGGCACACAAAGCCTGCATCGTGCGGAAGCGGGCACATGATGATACCACACATGAAGTCTCACCCCACGTTGCGGTGTGGACTTCAGGGGGAGAAGAAAAACGGTTCGCGATGGATTTGGGAGTCGATGGAGCTGACCCTGTAAAACAAGACTTACCTGGAGCTGATGAAGTTGCTGCAACCCAAGGAAGCGGAGATGCAGATGACTTACCTGCAGCAGGTGTCTCCATTTCGGAAGACGTGGAAAATGTCAACGTTGGAGATGCGGTGAACGAGTCAAGAAAGAAGCATCTTACCTGCCCTCTGCTGGCTGGTCAGGGCAATCAAGTCAAGGATTATGGTGTTGTACACACCTGTGCAGCCACCTCGACCGGGCCTGCACACCATGGCATCACCTAACTCCACACTCACTCGTGTGCTTGTGGCTGTGTTCGCGGATGACTACAAGCACATGGGTGAGGGGGAGGTGGGGTGTGGAGTGTATCTGGTGGCCCAGGAGTGGGACATGGAGTCAAGGAGCATAAGTGGAAGACCTACTCACCAAGGTTGCCAATAAGCAGGGGGAGTAGGCAGAAAGGATGCAGCCGGTCGTCATACGTCGTGTTGCAGCGGTATCGTGCGACTGGTTGCTGCTGATCAACGGCACCACCTGAGGGAATGATGGAGAACATACATTGGAACACGCATTACTGCATACCTGGTGTGGACGGTTCTCCATACCTGGTATGCACATCTCGGCATACTTGGTGTGCACTGCACACATGGAGTGGACATTTCTGCACATATGGAGTGCAGATTTCAGGGATACTTGGAGTTCGTCGGCATTCGCAGCTCTCCAGCTGATGGAGTTCGGCAACTCTGTCTGCTACCGTGTGCCGGCTGGAGTGTATGGGGAAGCATCACATGACAACATAGGTGAAGTTTGAGCAAACTTGGCATGATTGCCAAAGCATGGGGAGAAACTGTCGCGCGAAGTGTGCGCCCACCAATGCAGTTCCGCGCCAGCCGCACACCCTGTGTTATCTGCTACCGATTCGCGTCATCCGCAACTGCAGTCGTCGGAGACGCGCATCCACTGCGGTTTTGCGTCGTCGCACAGGAGGCGTGCGAAAAAGACAGCAGCACTGACAATCGCGTGTAGTCAAGTCTACGGTTTCGGAAATTCGGTGTGCGCTAAGGGCAATCCGCCATGACGATCTACGCATTTCGCCATGGTTACGAGGAGATTTCGTCATGGAGCTGCTACTATTTCCTCAGTAGCAGCCACTACGCGCTGTATCTAGATCTGGAAAGTCGCCAGTGGAAGGAGGGATTGGAAAACATCAAGGGAGGAGGTTTGGTTGGAGTTTGAAAGCACCAAAGGTTGGGAGGGGAAAGGTGCTACAGTGACAAGCAGCTTGGCCAACACCAAACCCTAACTTGGTTTGGGCGCACCCCTACCTAGTGGTGGTATACCACCTCGACCACCCCATCCTCCAAGGAAATCGGATTCACTAAAACCTACAGCAAGGGGGAGTGTTGGAAATCCGAATACAGTATAACGAATACTGTATACCAGTGTGCTGTTTGGTTTTAGTGTAGTCCTCTTTATAAGCTTCCAGGTCCTACAATTATTGTAGGGGCCAGAATTATTGGAGGTCAGCATTATTGGAGGGTAGAGGGTACAATTATTGGTACACCATTATTGGTGTGAATGGGTCATTCTGGAGGGGTAGCTGGATGCATATATACCCTGCTGTGTCACATCATTGAGTACACATTGTGTCATCATTCTACTTTTCAATGATCAATGCAAGATTTCTATCTTGTTCTTTTCTACAAACACGTTTCCGCTACGCTGGCACTATGCCTTTCTAGCACGACTGAGTCCTCTTCCCCCCTGGTTGTTACTCGCCTGTTCGTTCGCTTTAGTCCTCACTATGGCGACTCCGCGAGTTCTTCGTTTCGACGCTGACGGTAGACCCCTTGACTTTTCCGTCTGGCTTCTTCGCGCTCGCCGTCTGTTAGAGAGTCAGGTCCAGGGGGGCGAGACCCTCTTGTCACACGCTACTGGTGACCTCCCTGAGCCCCCCGAGCCTACAGCTTTAGGCCCTGCTCCTGACGACGCTGCTACGGCTCGCTTTGCCCGTCAGCGCGCTGACCGGACGGCTTGGACGTCGCGTGACGCTGCGGCCTGCATCGCACTCAGCAGCCTCCTCCCTGAGTCCGAGGAGGTCCACTTTACTCAGGTTCGCACCGCTGCTGCGTACCTCACTGCGATTAAGGCCCGCTACTCTACTCCCGCTACTGTCTCTCTTGGCCGTCTTTTCCTCCCGTTCCTGTTTCCTGATCTTGCCTCGTTTGAGCGCTCTGCTGACTTGATCGCTCACCTCCGCTCGCTCGACGCTAGTTACCGCGCTGCTTGCACTGAGGCACAGCTTGTACTGCTTCCTCCCCCTATGGCGATCACTGTCTATTTCATCGCCACTAGCCTCCCTGACCGCCTTGCCTCCGTTCGTGACGCGCTTCTGCTGAAGCACCCTAGTGAGCTGACTATCGAGGTCCTTGAGTCTGCACTCAAGGACGTCGAGAGCAACCTTCGTTCGGTAGCTGCCGCCTCTGGTACTGTGTCCCCCCCACTCTTCCACGGGTGCACAGTCCCGCAGTTACCCACCTTCAGTGCCTCTCTTGCCACTGCCGCTACTGACGCGACTGCGGCTGCTGTTACGACTGCGTCGCGGTCCCGCGGCAGGGGGGGCAAGAAAGGTGGTTCTAGTGGAGGTGGAGGCGGAGGTAGCGGAGGTAGTGGGGGTGCTGTTGCGACTGGCGGTGGTGGGAGTGCAGCGTCTGGAGAGACCCCTCGTGCAGCGGCTGGTGACTCCACTGCACCTGCTGGTGGCGGCGACCCCCGAGCTCGTCAGTCGCCTCCTGTACTGCCGGCCCCGCTAGGTGGAGCAGCGGCGTGGTACCAGGCTCAGCGTCAGCAGCACCTTCAGCAGCAGCAGCAGCCCCTTTCCTCCCAGCAGCCTCAGCAGCAGCAGCGTCAGCAGCTGGCTCCGGGGTCGGGGCTGCGTCAGCCCCAGCGCGGTGCGGCTTACCCTCCCTGCCCCTACCAGGTTCAGACAGGTCCTCGTCGGGGCCACCCTTGTGGCCGCTTTCACCCCCCTGGTCAGTGCTTTGCTCAGCTCACTGACACGGTCCGGTTGACCTACGGGGTTGGCGGTCCTGCTCCTGACTGGCTTCCTCTGGTTCAGCGCTACGGCTCCGCTCTGTGGGGCATGTCTGCTGAGCAGTTAGTTGATCTGATTAGTGCTCCTCATGCTATGTATGCTGTTGTTGACTCTAGTGTTTCTGACTCTGTTTACTCTGGTGTTGTTAGCTTAGGTGCTAGTCTTGCTCAGTTGCCTGTTGCTAGTGTAGGTACTTGTGTAGACTCTAGACCAGCGACTACCTCAGGGGACGCTTCGCTGTCGTTCACACTGGACTCTGGAGCCTCCCACTGCTTCTTCCGGGACAGCACGACACTTACACCACTTCATGCGCCTGTTTCTGTAGCGTTGGCTGATCCCACTACGGGACCAGTCACTGCCTGTCACACTACCACTTTACCGTGTCCTGCTGCTCCCTCCGGGTCTCTCACTGGGTTTCACGTCCCCTCGTTCTCCCGGAACTTGGTGGGCGTGCGACCCCTCGTGAGTCAGCACGTGGGTGTGTGGTTTGAGCCTTCTGGAGAGACTGCGGTGTGTGTTGACGGAGACTCTTACCAGCCTCTTGCTACCTTTACTGCTGAGCCGGGCTCGGGTCTCTACACTCTTCACACTGGCCCGCGTGCGCCGCAGCAGCAGCCGCAGCAGCAGCAGCAGCCGCAGCCGCAGCAGCAGCAGCAGCAGCAGCAGCACCAGCGGCCGCACCAGCAGCCCCCCCTACTGCCACTGCCCCCGGTTCCCCCCCCCGTTCGGGTCCCCGTGTCTCACCAGGTTGCTTCGTCCCCCCAGGTGTCTGTGTCGTGTCAGGTTCCTACGTCTGTTCCAGTCGCTACGTCGTGCTCCTGCCGGTCGCTTGCCCACCCCACCGTTTTGTGGCACCACCGGATGGGGCACCCGTCCCTTCCTCGTCTGCGCGCTATGTCTAGTCAGCGTCTTGTCCTAGGCCTCCCACGTGTCTTGCCGTTGCTGCCGCCTTCGCTTGCGCCGCCGTGTCGTCCCTGCGTCGAGGGTAGGCTGCGCGCCACCCCTCACTCCTCCTCCCTTCGTCCGGCCACCGAGCCTTTTGAGACGCTTCACTTGGACGTCTGGGGCCCCGCCCCTCGTCTAGGCCCTGAGCGTGAGCGTTACTTTCTGGTGGTCGTTGACGACTTCTCCCGCTACACCACAGTGTTCCCACTGGCGAAGAAGTCTGAGGTGACTTCTACGCTGATCAGGTGGTTGCTCACCACCGAGGACACTCGTGGTCGTCGTGTCAGCTGTCTCCACTCCGACCGTGGGGGTGAGTTTCGTTCCGGCATTCTCGCTGGATTCTGTCGCGAGCAGGGCATTCGTCAGTCCTGGACGCTTCCAGAGTCCCCACAGCAGAATGGGGTTGCTGAGCGCCGCATAGGCCTGGTCATGGAGATCGCCCGCACCTCCCTGACTCACGCCTGTGCCCCCCATTTTCTGTGGCCCTACGCGGTCAGGTACGCCGCGCACCAGCTGAACCTCTGGCCACGTGTCTCTCGACCAGAGGTTTCACCGATCAGTCTTTGGACAGGGTCCCCTGGTGTTGCGTCGCGGTTTCGTGTCTGGGGGTGCTTGGCTCTTGTCCGCGACACCTCCGCGGACAAGCTCTCGCCTCGTGCCGTCCCCTGTGTCTTCCTTGGTTTCCCTGAGGACTCCTCTGACTTCACCTTTTACCACCCTCCCTCTCACCGGTTCTTTGACTCCCGTGACGTCCGTTTCGAGGAGTCCACTCCGTACTACGTCAGGTACCCCATTCGAGGTCTCCCGGTTCCTCCTCCCCCCCTCTTCCTGACTGCCGCTCCCCCTCCTGCTCCCCTGGTACAGCCTCCCCCCCCTGGCCCAGCCCCGTCAGGTGTGTCCCAGGCTACCCCTCCTCCTTCGGTAGCCCCTCCGGTACAGCCTCCCTCCCCACAGTCCTCCTCGCAGCGTGCCGCTGGTGCTAGCTCTCGAGAGGTTGGTGCTGCGCTTGTTCCTGTACCGGTTTCTGGTTCTGGGGGTGCTGGAGTTGGAGCTGGTGTTGGAGCTCGAGGTGGAGCTGGAGTAGGCACTGGAGTTTCTGGTTCTGGGGGTGCTGGAGTTGGAGCTGGAGTTTCTGGTTCTGGAGTTGGAGCTGACCCGGTGGGTGGAGAGGACTCTTGTCGTCCGGGAGCCGGCGCTGGCCGCGCGGACTCTGGGGGTGCTCCCTCTGGGGGTGAGGGTGCGCCTGCTTCGGGTTCTGGTGCGCCTGGGTCTGGAGCTGGTGTTAGTGCTGCCTCTGGGGGTGGTGCGCCTGGTTCTTCGGGGGTTGACTCTGGAGCTGCCGCTGCTTCGGACACTACTCCGCCCCCCCACCCCTACCCGACTAGGCACCAGGCTCGTGTTCGCCGTGCGCGTGACGAGCAGCTGGAGTTGGAGAGAGAGGAGAGGGAGTTACAGCGGCTGGCGGAGCAGCAGCAGCAGCTGGACCCGCAGGAGCAGCAGTCCCAGCAGCAGCCGCTTCCGCAGCAGCAGCAGTCGCAGCATCAGCAGCAGCAGCCACTTCCTCCTCCTGTCTCGGGTCTTCGGGCCCTTGGTCTCCCCTCCCCTTCTCCTCCCTCCTCCGCCTCTCCTCCTGTCTACGGTCCCACGTTTCCTCCGCCTGACTCCTCCCCCGCTGTTTTCTCTAGTTCTCCGCCTTTGTCCTCTCCTCCTCCGTCTCGTTCTTGGGCTACTCGTCGCTCCCCTCGTGCTCGTCCCTCGTCTCCTGTTCCCTTCACTGACCTTCGTACTGCCTTACTTTGTTCCAGTCCACCTCGTCCGTCTCAGTCTGTGCTTCCGTCTCCTCCTGAGTCGGCCCTCACCGTGTCGCTCCCTGCTCCTGTCACTGACTACTACCGCACGTACCGTCCTGTTCTCTCTCGTGTTCTCGCCTCTCTTGTTACTCACCCTAGTGCCTCTGTGTCCTCTGTGTCTGCTCTTACTGCCGCGGTTACTGACTTTGCCGCTACCCGCCGCCTTGACTACGCCACCACGCTTGTGGCTGCTCCTCCTACCAGTCCTCTGGCCGTCGGGGGTGTGTCTGCCCTTGGCTGTGACGCCCTAGAGGACAGGCAGTTTGAGCTAGAGTTCCTGGCGGCCGCTTCCCCTCATCTCTGTGCCATGCTCCTCGCCCCTGAGGGTGACCCCGACGCCCTTGACATTCCGACTCCTCGCACTTACGCTGAGGCAGTGTCAGGGCCTTGGGCCTCTCAGTGGAGAGCTGCCATGGACGCAGAGATGGCCTCCTACAGATCCACAGGCACCTACGTCGATGAGGTTCCCCCCCCTGGGGCGAACGTAGTCGACGGCATGTGGATCTACAGGGTGAAGCGGCCACCGGGATCTCCCCCGGTCTTCAAGGCGCGCTACGTGGCTAGAGGTTTCAGTCAGCGCGAGGGAGTTGACTTCTTTCAGACCTTCGCACCTACCCCGAAGATGACCACTCTTCGGGTGTTACTACACGTAGCAGCACAGAGAGACTACGAGTTACACTCTCTCGACTTCTCCACTGCTTTCCTTCAGGGCAGCCTACACGAGGAGGTCTGGTTGCGTCGTCCCTCGGCCTTCACTGGCACTTCCCTCCTGGGACCCAGTGGAGGCTGAGGCGACCTGTTTACGGTCTTCGCCAGGCCCCTCGCGAGTGGCACGACACTCTGCGTTCTACCCTCTCTGACCTTGGGTTCCAGCCGTCTTCTGCCGACCCGTCGCTGTTCGTTCGTCGTGGCTCCACACCGTTCTTTGTTCTGGTCTACGTCGACGACCTCGTTTTCGCCACTCCGGACAGGGTTGCTTTGGCAGACGTGAAGTCCGAACTGCAGAAGAGACACACGTGCACTGATCTTGGTGAGCTGCGCCACTACCTTGGCCTGCAGATCACCAGGGACAGAGCCGCTCGCACCATTACACTCTCACAGTCACACATGGTGCAGCAGGTCCTTCAGCGGTTCGGGCTTCAGCACTCCACCGTACAGCGCACACCTCTCGCTGTTGACCACAGACTCACTGGTCCCTTTCCTGACGAGCCGTTTGAGCCTAGTGGTCCCTACGCAGAGCTTGTGGGTTGCCTCATGTACCTGATGACTTGTACTCGCCCGGACCTCGCCTTCCCTCTCAGCATACTTGCGCGCTTTGTTGCGCCAGGGAGACACCGTCCTGTTCACTGGACGGCAGCTGTGAGGGTGGCGAAGTACCTAGCGACTACATCAGGCGTGGGGCTAGTTCTTGGAGGGCAGCGGTCTGTCGTACTCACTGGTCACTGTGACTCCTCTTACGCTGACGACGCTGAGACTCACAGGTCTACTCAGGGGTACTGTTTTAGTCTGGGTTCTGGAGCTGTTTCCTGGCGTTCCACGCGCTCCTCTTCTGTCTCGACCTCTACAGCTGAGGCTGAGATTTACGCTGGTGCCATGGCGGCACAGGAGTTGCGGTGGTTGACCTTCTTGCTCGCCGACCTTGGTGAGCGGCCGAGCTCTGCACCGACCTTGTTTACTGACAACAAGGCGTCGATCCTCCTCTGTCGTGAGCCGCGACTGGAGAGCAGAGTGAAGCACATTCACGTCAGGTACTTTCTTCTGCGAGAGTTGCGGAGACGTGGACAGGCTCGCTTCGAGTTCGTGGAGTCCGAGGCCAACACTGCAGACATCTTCACCAAGGCGCTTCCGCCTTGTGACCACCAGAGGTGTTGTGTGCAGTTAGGCCTTGTTGACACAGGTTCTAGTCATGTGTAGACTTGAGTTTATTGCCTGCTTCGTCTGTACACTTGCTATATATACTTGTGATCTCTTGGATTGGCCTTGTGGCCACTGTTGCTTGTGCTCAGAGTGTGTGGTGACGTTGTGATCCACCCTGAGCTTTGTTTTCTTTTGGACTGGTCTTGTGACCGTACTCTTTTTGATTTTGCTAGACACCCCTCACTTAGGCTATGGGGGTGTGTCAAATGTTGTAGCCTGTAGTGAGGTTTGTCTTAGGGGGTACATAAGTTAGGGTTTGTCATATGTACCCCAACCAACATCAATGGACACATCATTCCTCATTCTGACAAGTACCCCACTGCAGGCTAGACAAACATCACATTTTGACACACCCCCATAGTCAAAGTGGGATATAATCAGCACAACAAGCAAGCAGAGCAATAGTTCACAAGGATAGGCAAAACTAGAGGCTATCACAGAAGGCAAGTGAGGAGGAGAAACTATAGGGGGCGAGAAGATGGGAGGTGACGGCTGAAGCAGGACACGCAGGGCTGATTTTATCAGGGTAATTACCCTGATTTCAGGGTGATTTCAGACTTTCCACTTTGCGGAGACTGAGATTTCAGAATTACTGAGTTCTCAACCCTGTTCAAATCAGAGTAGTAGTTTTCCTATCTCTGATTTTGAGTATAGTATAACTGACTAGCGTGTTAGTGGACCCTGACTTAATAGGGTATCGAATCTATGGTCCCTGATTTGGACCTTATCGAGAGGAAGGCTCTTGGAAATTTCC